GTTTGGGGTCTACGGTGGTGTCATTTTGACGAAGCCACTCCTTTCATTTAGGCTTTCATTTAGGGAGGAGATGCCTTCGAAGTAGTGACAGCTCAATCAAAACATTTGTGGAAACATGGACTCATTGGGCAGGTTCACCACAAGAAATTCAACATGATGAAGCAGGAGAGTTCGTGTGCAAAGAGAAAGTGTTCGAACCATTAAGTGCAGCACCATGGCAAAGAGGTCGAATCGAAAGACATGGAGGAGTCATCAAGGAAATGCTCAGTCGTAAAGATAAAGAGAACCCAATTCTAACAAAGAAGCAATTCGACTTTGCCTTGAATCAATGCTTTCAAGCCAAGAACAGTTTAAGGGTTGTACATGGATACAGCCCTGAACAGGCAGTCCTCGGCAGAACCAGACGTTTGCCAGCATCCATATGTGGAGATGAGGATTTTACAGCTCATTCCATAGACAATCCCAGTGGTACTAGGTCAGAAAAATTCTTGCAGCAAATGCAGATTCGGACATTAGCCAGAAAAGCCCTTTTGGATGCCGACAATAGTCAAGCCATTCGCAGAGCCCTCAATCGCCAATCCCGAGGACAAGAGCATCCTTGGAGATGTGGTGAATTATGTATGGTGTGGGATAAGAGGAAACCCCCGAACATGCTTGAGAAGGGACGATGGACTGGACCCTGCCAGATTGTCATGGAAGAAAACAGGACCATAGTCTGGGTCACTCACATGAATCGATTGCTTCGGGTTGCTCGTGAAAACCTTCGACCGGTATCAATTAGAGAATTCCACAAAGTTGCCATATTCCATCAAAGTTGTGATGAAAAACGATTGCAAGAAATGGCAAGTCAATTAAAAACGCAATTGAAAGAAAGACGTGGCATGTTTCAATTCTCCGACTTCACAGAAGGGGAAAGCCCAGATGCTCCACCAACCAACCAAGGTAATGGAATCCAACCAGAAGAAGAACCACACAGAAGAAATTCAGAAGCAGAGGCAGAATTGAACCCAACTCCCATGACCGCAAAGGCAGGAGGGCCAGTTTCCTCCTCAGAGAATGTTCGAAACTTGCAGCCGGCCACCGGCGATGCCAGGAATGATCGTGTGGGGGAACGTGATCATACAAACGAAGGGGAACCACCAATGGAATCACCCGGGGATTCATTGGAAAATGCAAATTCAATAGAGCCATTATACAATATATAATATATACAATGTGGGCATTGTAGAAGCTAATGACCCAGATGCTGCCACAGTGAATGACAATGGAACATTGTGGTCAGTAGATGAAGACATTCCAATTGAGAATGCTAAATTTTGCATGTTCGAAATAGAAGTGCCAACCAAATATCTGACAAAATTTTGTGTTTGTCCCTGCCTTCATGTCGACAAAGTTGCTAAAGCAGCCAAGAAGAACCATGTAGAAGTCCAGTATCGGAAATTGAGTGATACTGAACAGAAGGAATTTGATCAAGCCAAAGGAAAGGAATTAGGATGTTGGATAGAAACATCGTCCATTGAGCCAATCCTTCGAGATCGCATTCATCCATCGCGGATCATGTCAAGATGGATATTGACTTGGAAGACCGATCCTTCATCCCCAAAGGGTCGAAAAGCGAAAGCTCGTTTAGTAGTGAGAGGGTTTGAGGACCCAAATGCAGCGACGGTGAGCACGGAGTCACCCACGACGCATGATCATTCTTCAGGAAGTCAGCAGCCACCAGTGAACACTGCAAAGCTTTGACATCCGAACTCCTTTTTTACGAGGAAGTCTGATCATAGAGAACTAGCAATGCATCCTGTCCCAGAACTGCAAAAGATGCCTGGGTTAAAATTGAATGAAGTTTGCCTGTTGAAAGGTAATGCATACGGCCGAGTTGACGCCCCAATTTTGTTTTACAAAGAGTTTCGTAAAACTTTAGAAGCAGCCGGATTCGAAGCACATCCCCTAGATGCATGCCTGTTTATGTTGAGAAACAAGCACGATCCAAGTAAATTGGAAGGGATACTAGGCACGCACGTCGACGACGGAATCGGAGGCGGTACAGAGGTCTTCGAAAGAGCTTTAGAAAAGATTCAACAGCATCTTCCATTCGGACAGAAGGAATACAAAAGGTTTAGGTTGACAGGGCTTGATATTGAACAATATCCCGATTATTTGATCAAAGTCAGTCAAGCCGAATACATTCAGAAAATAGACCCAATTGATATTCCCAAGCCGAGAAGAAAGGATCGAGATTCAGAAGTGACACCCACTGAATTACAACAATTAAGAGCCCTTTGCGGTAGCCTCCAATATGCTGCAGTGCATTCAAGGCCGGATTTGACAGCCAAGGTAGCTTTCTTGCAGAAGCGCATACCCAAAGCCACAGTGTCCAACTTAATGGAAGGAAACAAGATACTAAGAGAAGCAAAGAACACGGCTGAAACATCAATTCTCGTGCAGCCCATTCCTGTGGACAAAGTGACTTTGCAAGTTTTGGTGATGCTAGCTTCGCGTCCGAACATCAGCTTCGGGCACAGCAAGGGTTATTTGTTCTTTCAACCACTGAAAAGAATGAGGTGTCAGAAAACCATCCTCTAGCATGGGGATCCAAACAAATTGCAAGGGTTGTTCGATCCACATTGAGTGCAGAGGCCTATGCAATGTCCAGTTCACTTGACAAGTAAACTTGGGTAATGTTGGATCACGATTAGTAAAGGGGACTTCTATAATGCTAAATTTTTCCAAAATTATTCAGACCCCCCTGTTTGAAAAATGGTACCTCTATAATGCTAATGTTTTTTTTGGCCCAAAATTTTTAAATTGGAAACCCAATTAATGAGGGTTTGAATTCCTTCTGAACCCTGTCCACCTGCACTCCCCCCCCCTTCCTTCTGAACCCAATTAAACCCTTTATAAAACATTGCTCCTAAACAAATTGTCAAGGTAGTAGACCAGGAAGGCACCTGATCCTCAATAATAAATTTGTTTTTGGGACCTCAATTGTGGAAAGTTTTTTTCCACTGGAAAAAATGCACATGGAATCTCCCTTTACT